TGGGGTGGGGTTCCGAGTTAGTGTTTGAGCATGAAACATCAATCACTGGGACTTCCTTCAATCCGTAAATGGCCTAAAACACAAATTTTGGCACTAACAAAGCCAATGTAGACACCATAAATCCATGGAGATCTAATTAAGGTGACAATCTCCCAACCCTTCACCACTACCAATGGCACATAAAAATGACCTCAAATTGGGTGGTTCTAGCCAGGAACCCTCCTCCCCTGAGAGAACCGCATCACTATAGGCAATACCAGAAAGTAGGGGCACGCACCCACCTCAAAGTTGGCAGCCCTTAGGGAAAGTCAGAAAAAGAGAAAAACACGTTGCCCAGAGCCAAAAGAAGGGGGGGTGGGCAGGAGAAAACGAGCAGGGCCAGGCTACTCAGCGCCACAAAGAAGACGCTTAACCTAGAAGCCTCGTGACAAAAGGGCAGTGGGGGAGCTGGCCAGTCCATAAAACACATTCCTGGTGGCGAGAAGTGGGGTTTGAGGAGCACCACTGTGGGCCTCATTAACCGAACGAGAAAGGAGGGAGACCAAGGTTGAAAAAAAATTTTTTTTTTAGCTACGCATTTTCGTTTTTCTACTTTCTGCTTTCAAAGGTAATTTCTGCAGAGCATTCAAATACCCCTTTCTGGAAAGAACTCTCAGCCCTTTGTACACCTGGAATTGGTACTTCTTGTAGAAAACTTCGAGAACTCCGGCAGAGAGGCAGGCCTAAGGGCAGCTACAAAGGCCTTGAGGAGATGGTAAAAGTTTTAAGGTTTTCGCCTGAAGGAGGATGAGCCGCCTAACCAGGTGGCAGCGTGACAAGCTTTAATTTGCTGTGCAGAAGACCTGACCCCAAGTGAGGTCAGGAGCAAACAATGACTCAATGGCAGGGCGGGTGGAAAAGAAATGAGAGGAATGAGAGGACAGAGGCTGGTGAGGCATCAGCCCTAAGGAAAAATTGAGATGCCTTTGAGCTAAGTAAACACATGCATGAAGGTTTGCTCTATGGTCAGCAATACACGTCTGGACTTTGGGTTAGAGGGATTGGGGCGGTCTCCCTTGGCCAGAATGAACCCCATCATTTGTACCCCTGGGACCTCCTTCAATCCTTAAGTGGCCTAAAACAAAGAGACCTACAAAGAGAATAATAGAAGGTGGGGGTGGGGTGGGGGAGTTCCAAAAGTAGAAGTTTCCCTGGCTTCCCAGCATTGTCTTCTGGGCTTCTGTCAGGTGGGGGGTAGGGGTAGTTGTTTTTTCTCTTACTAAAGGAGAGAGGGCTATATGGAATTCAGACTCTGTACCCAATGAGGGGAATGAAAACTTTCAAAAATACCCAGATGTTCACATTTTAAAATTAATAGTGTCAATTGCTAAGATCTTAATTACGAGTTTGTATGCTAAGCTAGTCAAGGTAGAAGAAGAGAAAGCGAGGTGTGAGAAGCACACTAAGCTTCCCCATCTCAGAACACATGTACTCTATCTGCATATTGACTGCATGAAGTCTAGTCTTTCATATCTTTTAAACCAACAAATGGAAACTCACTTAGGTTCTTCTTGGATCAGCTCAGCTTCCTGTTAAGATGCATGCTGACTCTATAGTCCTGTTGCGCTACCCACCACCTGCAATACCTGATGATCATGCGGATGAGTGTGTCCCCTCACCTATCTGCGTCAGCCTCTCCTGGTAGACTTGTTGGGAAGGCTGGCCCCCTGGCTGACTGCATCAGAAACTCCTGACATGAAGCCCAGGAATGTGGGTCTTAACCAACTGTCCCATCATTACCTGCTGGCTGACACTACTTGTCCAGCCTTCACAGTAGAATCATCTAGGAGAATTGAGAAACACGGATGCCCAAGCCCAGTGGGTGTCATAAGCTCTCCCAGGAGACTCTAATGTGCAGGTGGGTTTGCGAAGCACTGAATTCTAGCCCTCTTCTAAAAGATGTCAGGTGGGCCACCCCCTCCGTTCTCACCCCACCTGGGCTTTTTCGTACATTCCCAGATCTACCCAAGGTGGACTCACCTGCCATTTTTGTTGGTGTAGGTTGCTAAGTACCCATGGTCCTGCCAGGTGTGCACCGACTCAGTCATTCCCTGCTCTTGGAAAATGGACTGCAGGCCTTTGAGAATGGTTTCACCATCAGCTGAAGAGCAGGAGGAAGAACACAAAGATAGTCAAAGCATAGCCCGTTCCAAAGGAAAGCCAAAACAAGAACAAAAACCAAAAAAGGAAAGGCAAAACCCATGGGGTGACGACTGGACTTCCTGAGGGAGATCTGCACAGAGTGAGGCAGCATCCATTGTTTCTCGCCTTCATCATAGGCAACACACTTTTAACCCTGCAAGGAAAGGCTCCACCACAGAGCATCGGGTTACACAAGACCAGGAGAACCCACCAGAAACAGATGCAGGCAGACAGAGATCCGCCTCCCTGGAGAGAGCACACCATAAAATCATCAGCAAACTCAAAAAGCAAAGAAATGGCACCAAGTGCAAATCTTGTCAACGAGATTCCATTTTCAGTAAATCAATGAGGACTAGCAAGAGGATGTCCAGACACTGTTGACGGACATTACAAATGACTTCAATACTTTTGATCTAGATGTTTTACAGCAAGGATGTGCAGCTCTTATAATCAGGGGAAATTTTTTTTTCATTTATTAAGTAATGTTACTTGGGAACCTATTTAAATGTGGTAGAAACGGAATAGCAATTCCATTTGGGACATCCTGCTGTGGCATTGTGACCTCTCAGGTCCACCAGGGTCACACACACACCCCCACACACACACAATCTCTTTTCCAAGTAGAGCACAGTAATCTCCAGGTAGGACTGAGGAAGGTTCTAGAAATTGCAATTACCATGGCAGGTTCATTTGAAGCCAAAAATTTCCATGTACTTTCAGCATCAAGATACTTCAAGGAAAGGCCGTATATAATTTGTTCTTTTCCAGGTATGTCTTGCAAAGCAGCCTAGTCAGAAGAAAAAGCAAGATACGACCGACCCGAGACAAACTAGGGCCTCACCTACCCGAGACCAGAAGAACTACCCACCATTCGGTTCAGGGTCACAATAGATAGACCCTAATAGGAATGGAAGAAATTTTAGAACCAAAGTTCAAATTCCTAAACCAAAACCCACAAACACACCAGACTCACTGGACCAGTTGAGACGGGGGGACTCCCCAAGACTTCTGCCCTGAGATACTCTTTAAGCCTTGAACTGAAACTAACCCCAAATCACCTTTTAAGCTAAATAACAGATTGGCTCACAAAATAAAACTATGAATCACAAATACTGTGCTCCTTTCAAAACATCATCTATATGAGACCAAACATTCATAATTACTTTAAACCAAAGATGAGAATGTTAGAGGGCAGTATGGAAAACATTACTACCAAAACATAAACATGGAGAATGTAGCCGATGAAACTAACAATGCGTGTAGACAGAGTTGAATGAAAGCCAAAACTGCTCTGTAAACCTCCCCCCAAAACACAGATTTAAAAAAAAAACATAGCCAAAGGAATCATTCCGTAAGTGCCCCAGTGTGGTAGCTAGATTGTACGCCACCTGAAATTTGTATGAAAGTCTAGGGGTGGAGTCCAACCTATCAATCAGGTCACACAGCCTGATGAAGCCTCTTGGTAGGTATAGCCTTTTCATAAGAGAGACATAGGGGACCCCTCTACTCTCTCTGGCCCTTTGCCTTAATCCTTGCTGGGATTCCGTAAATGGGCCCACTCCATGTGGGCTGTTGACCCTGATAGTGGAAGCCTGAGCTGTTGGCGCCTGGCTATATTCCCACGGACCTTGGAACGGAGGTACTCTGCACCAACATGCCTGTAACCTCCCTGAAGAGGGCTCTGCCTCGCCTTGGACCCATGGACTTCAGTTGGACTGGCTTGGCAAGCCTTCTTGTATAAAGTTCCTTCTTACAATGAGTGTCACTCAGCTTTGTTTCTCTGCACAACCCAGCCTAATCCACCCAGAATCCCTTTTCCGGCAGGTGCCACAGGACAGGACAGCAGCACCTCCTGCAAAGCATGACCAAGAAGCAGCCCTGCCTTGTCTCTGCCTCAATAGACACAAAAAAAAGATTCACAGCAGCTGACTACAGTGCAGCTACAAGGATATCATACTCAAATTCCTTCCGCAAAACCAAATGTCAAAGGAAAGTTAAGGCTATCTCAGATTCAGAGTCTCCCTTTAGTGGACTTTTTGCAAGGATGTTTCCCAGACTTGGTACAGTAAGAATGAAAAATCAAAGCAACAACAAAAAATTCTCATAACCACCTAGTAGGCTTGAACTCACAGTGACTCGACTGAGGGTTACCAAGAGTATAAATCTTTATTTCTAGAAGCAGACCGGCTGGTCTTTCTCCTGCAAAGAACTCTTTAAATTCTCTCTAGCTCCTAGCAAAATTGTGTCTTTGGGAAAGAACTGGGTTTGCTTGGCTCGTCTGAAATTTATTTCAGGACATTAAGAGGGAAGGCCTGAATTATATCGCCAGAATTCGGTCACATTAAAGAACAAATTCCATTAAAAAACAACAGCAAAAACTATTTTGAACTTAAGAATGCACTCAAACGTGTTGTGTCTGTCTATCTGAGCACTGTGGTGAGATCAGCCCACTGTGGGGCGTAACTGGCTGTAGGGGCAAGACGATAGAGAACATGCCGGCCCCAAACATTCAAGTTCCACATTTTACAAATAGTCCAGCAGCACTTGCCCAAAATATGAAAGCCACTGTGTAATTATTCAATTCCTTCTTGGCTAGAACAGATGTTCTCAGTTTGGAAAGGGCAGAAAGCACATCCCTCATGGTCAACGGCCCAAGATGGAGTTGTTTGACGTGTTCCAAACCAGAAGACAGATACCTGATGCTGCAGAAGTGAAAACACGCAGGGCCTCCAGGTACGTGACTAGCCAGGCTGGGCCTTGAACAAGGGCCCTGGCCCAGGAGCTGAGTGAGGGCAACTTCTGTCTCTCCGGACCAAGGTTAAGAACTATCTCTATTTCCTGCCAAGCCCAGCATGACAACCACCAGGCCCTTTTGGAAGTGGCACAATTAGACCAAAGGCACCCTGTAGGCTACTGGATGCCCTGGGGCTAGGTTTCAAACTGAAGAAGCAGCATCACCCCCACCCCTCAAAATACCAACTGTGACGTTTTACTTGTTTCTAAACCGTGTGAAGACAAAATGCCTTGAATCGGAATGTGTTCTGGGCTGCAGATTGTTCGTTTACCCACCCGCCATTGTGTGTGGCCTGGCCTCTGGGGGCATGTGAGCCTACCACGACGTCTGAAGGGGATCCGGAGAAGGGTGTCAGCAAAGGGGCTCAGCATGTTGGTCCACCTTCCACCCGCTCTGAAGGTTCCCACATCACTTCATGTGTGCTGTTTCCAGGGCTGGGGGAAGACTCCACTCCTCAGCATCTCCTTTCTAAGAGCAGGCTGTTAGCAGTGAAAACCCAAAGCCAACGGCATGCACTCCACCAGGCGACAAGACGCTTGATTTGTCACCTTGACCCTCAGGTGCTCAGGGGACGCTTTGTGACTCGGTGAACAATTATTTCCTTTAGCTCAAAGGATTATAGTTGTGATCATGACTTTTCAGTTTCTAGAATCACTTATTGGTCCAGTGGCTTTCAAGCCTGCTGTTCATGAGAATCATCTTGGGCATTTTCAAAAGCCCACCACCACAGCCTAGACCAATGAAATAAAAGCAAGGGCTGGGATCCAGACATTAATATTTGTAAAAGCTCTCTGGGAAATTCCCATGTGCAGCCCAAGGTTGGTAACCATTGAACTAGCCAATCTATTCAAAGAAAGGGGACCCCCCCCCACTAGTGCCACAGTAATTATACCTGCCACCCCAGCATTACAGAAAATGTTTAACAAAATAGCAGGCCTGGAAAAGTTGAAACCAGGTAGTCCACCCAAACCCACTCCATGCCTGTCTAGCAAGGAATGGGCAAGAGGAGCAAACAGAATGGACTTGCTCTATCAGTCTCCCTCAGTATTGGTTAAGCTGTTGATAAAACTGGGTGTGGGGCTGTCTTTCCCTCACAGAACTTCTGCCAACCATGCTTGGTATATATTTGCAGTGCCCATTCCTCAAAACACCCAATCCCCTAATGCACAAGGAGGGGTTCAGGAGATGGACTACAATTCTTTGAACACTAGTAGAATACCTAGGAGTGAAAAAACGAGGCTGGGGTCAAAGCATTCACAAATTGGGAACACGCGATAGCTATGCCACAAATGCATACAATCAGAGTTTTTTGAGGATTGCTGAGAGAGATAGCCACAGCACTTCTAAGTACAAGTGGTAATGTAATGGAAACTAAGCTACTGTATATACTTGTCTATAAGGCAAATTTTTCAGCACATTTTTAATGCAGTTTTGTGGTAAAATTGGGTGCCTCGGCTGATATTCGGGCTGGCTCATACTCGAGTATATATGGTAATTAACGCTAGGTGTGTTGTATGAAGCCATAGGGAACACTGAATTGGGGGGTACCAATCAGTCTTGTTTACCTCAGGTACTCCGTGCACCCTCGTGACAACCCTGACCAGGAAAAGAACTCATTGGTGAATAAGTAGATTCACAAAAGTAGAATCTTCAAATAATGAGGCTCATGTACAATGCTGTTTGGCACAAATTCTTACATAATTCGCTTCACTGAGCAGACAGGGGAGTGAAGTATTTCACTCAAAACAGAGTGGTGGTTGGCCTCTCCCAGGGCAAAAAGGCGTCCTTTGTCCACTAAACATTGTCCCCATTTCCAGGCCACTGACCATCTCATATTTGTTTCATCAACAATATTCTCTGAAAAGTGAGGGGGTTCGAGCCGTAGACCTGGGTTCTTATTCCTTTGAGGTCATTCCCTCACATTGAAGCTTATGAAAGCAAAGGAGGAATTTCTATTCTCATCAAGTACCTTGGTCACCTAGCGCTGCTGTACCGGAAATACCACAAGTTGAGTGGCTCGAACACACACAAATTAGTTTCTACCAATTAGAAGACTAGAAGTCCAAACCCAGGGCACTGCTCTAGTGAAAGGCTGTATCTCTGTTGGCTGTGGGGGGCGGCCCTTCCCTCTTGCTCTTCAGCTTGTTTCCTGGTTCCTTGG